ACTACACCAGCGAGTACTATAGCTATGGGAATTAGGTAGCGATTACACATCGATATTCAAGTATTCTGGCCTTGCTTTCCCATCGTATATGGTCATATGGACGGAATAAAGGGTTGAGTTAGTCGACAGTCACATATGCCTTGCTTGCTTCCATGCATGATGCCATCTCAACTGGTTCTTCACCTAATCACCTATTGTTTTCTTTGGTCGGTTTCCCTTCTTTTGGAGACATGGACTTGTGCTTTTGCAAGTAGTGAAAGTTGTAAATATATTAAATATATAGCTCACCCATAGTCCATAGCTGCTAGCTTTAACCCAGCATCTCTAGGTTCTCTTGCATGCCTAGAAAGCTCAAAAGAAAAAGAAAAAAGAGAGCAAAAGTTCACATATACATGTATATGAATTGTCAAACAAAGTAACGAACTATCAAGATCGACGTGAAAAAAGTAGTAAAGTCAAAGGAGATAGCTCCATGTACTCCGTACCGTTGTTCGTCTCTCTCCATCTCCTCTCTGCTCCAGATCGAACAGCCTTTTCGACGGCGCCACGTGCATCTTCTTCCTCGTGGTTGTCGTACGTGGACTTGTGGTCATCGCTGGCCACTGTAGCCACACTGTCGTAGGTGGGAGCATTCAGAAAAAGCATCCGCTGTGATGTTCCTTCTTGGAACAACACAAACAGCGGTAAAAGACTGTAATTTTTTTAAATGGCAAGAATTATTACCACACCACACATGACATGATTATCGAACAACTTATTAGAAATAACCTGGAATTTTTTTACACACACACAAACATATATATATATATATATATATATATATATATTAATTATAACACTGCAACAGCAGGGAATGAAAAAGAAATTCAGTACACAGTAGTAGTATCTTCATCTGTGTACTCTACTACTTGTGATTTTGATTTTGCAATGCAAACGGGATAAATGTTCATGGTGCACACTGAACAGGGCTGTGACGCGTCGGTGCTGCTGACCTCCCCGAACAACACGGCGGAGCGCGACGCGGCGCCCAACAACCCGAGCCTCCGCGGGTTCCAGGTGATCGACGCGGCCAAGGCGACGGTGGAGCAGAGTTGCCCGCAGACGGTGTCCTGCGCGGACATCGTGGCGTTCGCGGCGCGCGACAGCATCAACCTCACGGGCAACCTCGCGTACCAGGTGCCCTCGGGCCGCCGCGACGGCAACGTCTCCCTCGCCTCGGACGCCACCACCAACCTGCCGGCGCCGACGTTCAACGCGTCCCAGCTGGTGGCCAGCTTCGCGGCCAAGAACCTCACCGACGAGGAGATGGTCATCCTCTCGGGCGCCCACACCGTCGGCCGCTCCTTCTGCACCTCCTTCCTCGCGCGCATCTACAACGGATCCACCCCGATCGTTGACTCGGGGCTGAGCGCAGGGTACGCCACGCTGCTGCAAGCGCTGTGCCCGTCCAACGCCAACTCGTCGACGCCCACCACGACGGTGATCGACCCGAGCACGCCGGCGGTGCTGGACAACAACTACTACAAGCTGCTGCCGCTCAACCTGGGCCTCTTCTTCTCCGACAACCAGCTGCGGGTCAACTCCACGCTCAACGCCTCCGTCAACAGCTTCGCCGCCAACGAGACGCTCTGGAAGGAGAAGTTCGTCGCCGCCATGATCAAGATGGGGAACATCCAGGTGCTCACGGGGAGCCAGGGCCAGATCAGGCTCAACTGCAGCGTCGTCAACAACGGCTCGTCGTCGTCGTCGTCGGTGGGGATCCAGCAGACAGCAGTGGCCTACTCCTACTCTGGATCCACCACCGCGTCCCTCGACGAGATCGCCACGAGCTGATCCCGATCGGCGGCCGACCGGCGTGATGATATATACTCTGGATCCATTTGTGTGCACGCACCTGTCCATCTTTAGGTTATCTTGTACGTGTTGTTTACCTGCTGGCTAGTACGTTTGCTCTGCGTAGGAGAGTGCGTAGTTCGTGTGTACGCGTGAGTGTGTCATGCATATGCGCGTACACGAAATTCTCATTATCACCATGCATGTATTCCGTGAATGTCGGCAATCATCATCAATAAATAAAGCTGGTGCTCTTACACCGGTTGTTCTATCCTGTTCGCTCGGTTGATAAGCCAGAAAGTATAAGTATTGTTGATTGATTTATTGTGAGAGAAAAATATTATTTGTTGACTTAAAAAAGTACGATTTATAAGTCAAGCGAACAGGGCGAGAGGTAGCCTAAGAGCAGGTACAATAACAGTTTCGCCTCACACGTCAGCTATATGCATGTGGCAGAGGAGAGATAAAGCCATGCTTGGAGCTCCGTTCGTCCCTAGCACAACGCGGAAACCAAGGCACTCTTTCCGCATGCTGAGCATCACTCTTCCTCTCCTAGCTATCTTTGTCTATTGAATACAAATTACTATTTAGATTATACATACATATTAGTTGGTGTACGAGTTAGGCTCTAAACTTGTCTATTGATTAGTTGGCTTGGCTTAAAGCTAAGTCTTATTGGCGTTGCTCTAAGGTCCTGTTTGGATACCTCTCTGATTATAATAATCAGATTATATAATCAAATTTTGATCCAATCTGAATTGATCACATGATGTTTTATTATAATCAACACCCCTTGATTATCATAATCCCATAATCTAGGTGAGACTAGGTAGGGGATTATAGGTGCTTAAAGTCCAACTTAATTACTCCCAACTGATTGTCCAACTTGTCAAATAATCCTATGCATAATCCAGATTATAATAATCAAGCTTCGATCAAACAGGCCCTAACAATCATGCTGCTATTAGGGCTTTGTTACTGTATTAAAATGTCACCTCGCAGTTCTAAATTTAATTCTGAAAAACCATAATAAAGATGATGACACGCTGACACGTGATGCATACCATACTTACGTGTATGACTCTTGATTATTCAAGCCAAAACACATAAAGAATGTCATCCATATATATGATTAGTTTTTGTGCGGTGTGTATATCTCTGAACTGCAAGTCAGTATGGTAGTACTACACATAATAATAGCTAGGAGTAAACAATAATTGTGTGTGTGTGTGTATGTATGTATGTAGAAGTAAACCAACGATATGGATCAACAAAATCCGCTTGAATCGCCGCGTTATCAGACCTAACGAGTTATCAAGATGGACACCACTTATGCTGGAAATCGAGAGTCAGTAGTCAGGCACCTACCACGGTACCTATGGCTTGACTTTTGAGGCAACCTCGATGGGAAAATGGGAACCCAAAAACGTGCCCTGGAATAGTCAGTCCGCGTCATGCATCTATCCTATCATTCATCTCTACAGTACATGTTAAGAGGACACCTCATATAAATAGATATGATCATATAAGGTAGTACACCACGTACCCCACAGATTTATCATTCTGTTAAATCACAAACTACCAACAAATTTTTATACATACTACAACGGATTCGATTTTTACAGGGTATCTCTAGAAATCAATTTTCCGATTTTTTAAAAACAACGTTAAAAATATGAAAAAGAAAATAAATCATAGACTGAGCCCACAAATCACATAATTTGTCACCAAATCAGAAGCGATTTTTAGAGGCATCCTACTTTGTATGCAGATGGCTCTAACTGGGTCTAAAAATGGTTCCAAATATATATTTTTAGAAGAAATATAAATTTATTTCAAATTTTAAATATATTTTTAAAGCTTGTGATGAAAATTTGGCTCTCTAAGTTATTTCAAATTAAATGTATCAACTATGAAGTTGTAAATCTCGTTAAGCTCTACAGTTTGCTATAATTTTTGTCTTCATTTAACTCTGTATGAAAAAATAATTTGTGAATTTATTTATGCAACAACTACTTGTCCGTGTTTTGTACTAGTGACAAATAAAACATCAGTATCATGTGATGGGCTTCAATGGGATAGCACACAAGACACAGAAGTTAGGAGTGTGCTGTTGAGGTTGCATGGTTTAGATTTTTGTGATAGGAAACCGGATCTCGTGTAAATCGAGAGTTATCTTGAGCTGACAGAAAATCGAGCACCCCTCTTCCCATCATGGGTCTAATCGTCCTAGGCATCTTTGGCCTTGTTTTCTCAGTACGTATTTTCGGTGTTTAGGCCTGGTATGGACAAGTATCTTCACTACTTTTAGAGACCGTTTTTTACAGGTTCACTTATGAAAATAGCTATATTTTCAGAGGTAGTTCCTTTTAAAGTTTGCCTTTGAAAACATTGGGCCCGTAGATTATTTTCAGGCACGCTTGCTCTATTGAACTGCATACCACACCTGATTCTTTTTTGTTTTTTTATAGTGAGACGATAGTACATATCTAGACTTATATGGATTATATACCATATCCTCCAATACTATGATGTTACCCAAATCTTGTCTAAAACCTCAGTGGTTGTTTGGTCCGAGGAATGGGCCAGTAGTCTATCATCTTCTTACACATCAGTTTTTTGATTGATCTCTAAAATGAAATGAGTTGCTCATCAACACCTCATTTGCACAGGCTAATAATTAGTATAAATTAACACAAAAATAGGGTCGTTCCACTAGATTTAAGGAATGGATTCGTAATGCACCACTGCATCTAGCTATAGGATGGACTAGTTTTGCAAACCACAAACACCAAGTTAAACATTCATGTCAGATGGAGGAAGAATTTGAATTTTCTGTCCCATACACTCACCATTTATTTTGCAACCACGTAATTGACGGTGACATGTCAGTTTGAACACGAGCCAAAGCTTATATAGCCTCTATATATCTATATAAAGTATATACTAATAAGGTTGCAGTACTACTTTTCTTCTCCGGCTGCTATCTTAGCCAGCACTCTTTGCTAACAAACCTGCCCTGCCCGACCCCGGCCGGCACTCCTCTATATAAACGTTGGCGGAACCATCGAGTTAAACCAAGTGCCTGCTCATAATTAGAAGTGTGGTTGAGACTGAGACTACACAGCTAGCATAGCAGTGCCATTCTGGCAAGGGCGGGACAGAGGATGAGGACGAGCGGCGGCGGCTTTGCCGGCCTGGTGGTGTGCGTCGCCACCGTGTGCCTGCTCCTGCCGACGGCGAGCCGCGCCCAGCTGAAGGTGGGGTTCTACAACACCACCTGCCCCAACGCCGAGGCGCTCGTGCGTCAAGGTCGTCACGGCTGCTTTCGCCAACAACTCCGGCGTCGCACCCGGGCTCATCCGCCTCCATTTCCATGACTGCTTTGTCCGGGTACGTGTGTAAAAGACATACTATATATACACAATAAACAAGCATGCAAGTGGTGTCCACCAATGAGAGATGGAAATATATCTCATATAATATTCTTCCTGTGAACAAGAAACGAAAAAGAAAATATAAAGTACAGCATCATCCAAGAAATAGTTGCGGTAAAATCAAACGTATTAATTTTGACCAATATATTGTATATAAGTTAGGCACATAAGAGGATGGGAATGTTACAAATAAAATTTTCAACTGAAATCCTCTTGGTGTACTCCTTGTCTGTCCTAAAAAAAAGTGTGTCATTCACTTCATAAGAAGTCAAAAAATTAATTTTGACCAAATGTATACAAGAAATTATTAATATTTACCATACATAATAAAAATCGTTGGACTAATCTTTCAATATATTTGACAATAAACTTACAAATGTTGCTAATATTTTACATAATGGCCCGTTTAGATCCTTTTGTTTTTGAGGAATTAGAATATCTACTTTATGAACTAGGCTATTTGGTTTGGAAATTTGACATCCTAGAACTTTCAAAGTTTAAATATAAATCTGTCTTATTAAATTCATGGGTGAGAGATAGAAATAGGTTCCGTCAATTCCCATACTCTGTTTCGGCTTTGCAACCTGTACCACGCTCTTCGACTCGTTTACCTGTAGCAGAAGTGCAGTACATAATAAGTATCTCCTCTATGTGGCGAATGGCAGCATACAAATGCTAACTTAACTGATTTGTGCCTAAATTGTGATTATTAGAATGGATTTTAATTCAAAAGATTCAATTATTGCCTAATTCTAGTCAAATTTAAGGAAGTTTGACCTATACATAACCATAAACGACATTTTTATGGTTGGTATATGGATGGAGTACTTGTTTAACTTCGGGGAAATTCAAAAGCTTTACAGTACTTTCATTGGCCGGATGCGGAGCATGCATCTAGCTGGAACATAGGCAAGCCCTAACATGGTCTTCAACGTATTGTGAGCCACACATAACGTAAAAGTTCCATCAACAATAATAATTTAGTCTGTTCAATCAGTGTAGGTAACAGAAAGGGGTTGTTTGTCTCTATCATAAAAATAATCCAAACAAAACCCTAAGCTTCAGGGAATACGTCATAAAAATAATCCAAACAAAACCCAAGCTTCAGGGAACACGTGCACATGTCTTGGTTATCGTTCTCAAACTTTCTTCTCTTGAATAATAGATCGTTCAACAGCAACGAAAGCTCAGTTTTGGATCCTGGCAGCATATGCTCCCGGCCTGATCAACTGTTGAATTAGTCTTTAAGGATATATTATGATTTAAAACGTTGAATTTTTTGTATGAACAAGTCAATGGTCATTGCTTGCTACTACACATATACATCGGTACAACCACTAGACATGTACTCCCTCCAGTCAAAATATAAACCATTTTTGATCTTTTAGATACAATACTTTTATTATATATCTAGACACAGTGTGTATCTTAGTACGTAACAAAAACAATGTATCTTGAAAAGTCATGACGTCTTATAATTACTAAGTACAATGAAGGGAGTACATATATATAGATACAAATATCGATGCCGTCCAACAGGTACTATATATAATATACGTAGGAGTACTAAGATTGATACTTCTATTGCCCAACACTTGTTTACATGTTGTTTAAACAATTTGACGAGCTGAATAATTGAGATCAGTACGTGTTGATTCGTGGTTTTATACCGTCAGTCCAGAATGTTCAGCGTTGAAGCATACTACGTGTTATCCACAGACGACTTAATCTCAATCCTGAATGTGTGAATAATTAATTAATGCCACGGTGCCACCTGCTTGACAGTTAATATAATGCCACATTTACTAATCATGGTGAGAACTGAAAACTAAACTTTGGTGGTTGGCTTTTGACCCATCATTCCACAGGGCTGCGATGCCTCCGTGCTCCTGTCCGTGAACCCCGCCGGCGGCAACACGGAGCGTCAATCCCCGGCGAACAACCCGAGCCTGCGCGGCTTCGACGTGATCGACGCCGCCAAGGCCGCCGTGGAGCGGAGCTGCCCGCGCACGGTGTCGTGCGCCGATATCCTGGCGTTCGCGGCCCGCGACAGCGTGAACCTCACGGGCAAGCTCTTCTACCAGGTGCCCGCGGGGCGGCGGGACGGGCGCGTGTCCAACGAGACGGAGGCCAACAACAACCTGCTGGGCCCGAACAGCACGGCGGAGGTCCTCATCAACGGCTTCAGGAAGAAGAACCTGAGCGTCGAGGACATGGTGGTGCTGTCGGGCTCCCACACCATCGGCCGCTCCCACTGCGCCTCCTTCCTGGCCATGAACCGGCGGCGGCTGGCCAACGGGACCATCAGCGCGGCGTACCAGGCGCTGCTGGAGGCGCTGTGCCCGCCCAGCCCGGGCCAGTTCGACCCCAACACCACCGAGATCGACGTCAGCACGCCGGCGGTGCTGGACAACAACTACTACAAGCTGCTGCCGCTCAACCTCGGCCTGCACTTCTCCGACGACCAGCTCATCCGCAACGCCACGCTCGCGCCGTTCGCCAACGCCTTCGCCGCCAACGAGACGCTCTGGAAGCAGAAGTTCGCCGCCGCCATGATCAAGATGGGCAACATCGAGGTCAAGACCGGCACCACGGATGAGATCCGCCTCAACTGCAGCGTCGTCAACCCGTCATCATCGTCGTCGTCGGCCGCGGGGGCGATCGAGATGCTGTTCCCGGCCGACGAGGTTGCCACGAGCTGATGAACTACGTAATGACAACAATATATACACACGTACGTTACACGTACGCGCGTGCATGAGTACCAGTGTGTTCGGTTTGTTGCATGTATGTGGTGACTTTTGTACGTACGTGGGTGTGACCTAGCTTGCTTGTTGCGCACACAGTCGTATACTGTGGCCTGGTACATAAGCTGGACTTGATGCATGGGTGTGGTAACGAAAGCTTGAATAAAAGTTGCTCATATGGTCTGCGAAACTAATAATAAACAAAATAATGATCGATGATCTACCTACTTCTTATCTAGCAAGCTAGTCGTACAATCATGCATGAGCCGGGTTCAGTCTGACCGACCGACCGACCGGTAGCGCTATTGCATTAATTGTCAGATCAGACTGGGAGGCGCAGGCATGAGCCAAAGCCCAAAGGGATGGTTGATGAGGCCCTAAGCTCACATCTCCAACCATCCAACCTTATCCTTTCATATTTTTTTTTCAGTATCTAATTGCTCATGATTTCCATCGCATCAAAAAGTGGTAATAAGGCCTCGTTTGTTAGAGCAAGGCGCCTGTTTTTATTGCCTTGATCAGGATCCGGCTAGGTCCTATTAGTGTAACCAGAACTGTTTGTTTGCCTGGCCGAGACGGCGAGCCAGGCCCGCACGCCCCTTAAAGTAGGGATGGGCCTGGCCGCGTGGAAACATTTCATTTCTCCGGGGCTCAGCTCAAGCGGGTGCTCGCCTGGCCTTTTTGGCCTTCATGCTGTTGGCCCTCGCGGGTGTGTGTTGCTTGGGTTTCGCCTCACTCCTCTCCATTTATCCCCTCCCTCTCGTCTTCTTCGCTTCTTATCCTGCCCTCGCTCTCTCCAGTCTCCTTCATCGATTCGCCCGCTATAGACGTCGTGGTAGTAGACGCTCCTGACCCTTGGGGTTGGGGAATTCTCACTCTGTCGTCTCTGTGCTGGAGGTGGCGTTGGTGTGCCTACTACATCTCCGGTTGCGGTCCGCCGACCACTTCGTCTTCTTCGCGTGGTGGTGGTGGTGCCCGGTGTCCCATGACCGTCTTCTTCTTCCTCTGTCGCGGATCTGCTTCCTCTTCTCCTAGTCCGTGGCGGTGCTGCTTGTTTGCCTAGACATTTCCACCTCTAATGTTGTTTCTGTGGTTGCTCGTCGCTCATAGCAAGGTGGTATCCTCTCTCGTACCCTTATCTTGTGTGGATCTCATTTTATTGGTACATGGTTCGGTCCAAATCTTCGGATTTGAGGTGATTGTTTGCAAATCCCTAGTCACCGCATGACTTTGGCTTTAATCTGGACTATTCTAGTCTTGTGATGGTGTTGTTAAGGTTGATTTTGTCTTCGCTATGTGCTTGTTGCTCGGTTAGGGTTTAGTGTACATGGTGCTGTTGAAATTTGTGTTTTTTCTTGGATTACCTTGTTCGATGTAGTCGATGATGTGGTTTGTAGGCTCTGGGAGGCTTCCTTAGTAGGAGCAACCAGGCCAAGCAAACTTTGACGATGTGTTCCACATTATTATGCAAATGCAGCTCATTTGGAGGCCAGCAAAGGCATGCCTGGTTACTAAAATTATTTTTAATACTTACATGTTAGATGGATCCAACGAACCAGCGTTCCTTTTATGGCCAGTTAAGCTACTGCAATGGTTGTGGTTATGGTTGCTTTCTTATTTTGTAGACTTAAGAGCATGAGGGGAGAGGGGTTGACCCCATAGTGTATGGTCCTAGGGGTATAGTAGACGAGCATAGGAAGAAGACCTTGAAGTTGATTTATAACTCTACTGATGTATAGTGCCTACTGATGCTATGGATGACTAGGGCCCCTTTCTTTGCTCTCTACGATCTGTTTAGACAGAGGGGTCTTGTGCTAGACACTATCAACTCCACTGTTGAGAAACAGGTTTCGATGTTCCTACATGTAGTTGGTCACAACCAGAGGCTTAGGGTGGTTCACCAAAGCTTTAGAAGGTCCATAGAAACAATATGTCTGACATTCACTGCCAGCGCCCATAACTACCGGTTGTTTTGGATCCGGCAGTGATATCTATCACTATCGTTTGATGGCTTTCAACTAGTAGTGGTAGCACAACGGGCAGTGCTAGTTGTTTTGCGAAAAAAGCATAACTTTTTCATACGAGGTCGGATTAGCATAAACTTTATATCAATATTGTAGAGTTTATAGTGATCTCTAAAACTTTGTAGTTGACAATTTTTTTAACTTGAGATGGTTTCATAAGTCCAAATATTGA